TTGATTACTACAAAGCCAACATATTATGTCCAATAACAGTTGATTGCTAACATGGAACGGCCCTTGTCATGTCAATAAATGGTCTTTTACTCAGCTTCTGTTCTGCCTTCCCCAATAAGCAATTTTCTTTCAATAACTAATCCCCCAAAAAGCAGTTAGAGTAGAGAATCACTCTTGGATCCTCATATTTATTTGATAGAATCAAAACAACGAAACTCTCAGACAAGTCAAAATCATAAGTCAATCAATGCATCGTAGTTGGGCCCACAAATCACAGAAATAGTATGTCAATTAAAGAAGCAGCACTTCCAGGCCTCTCCGATGAATATCATGATCAAAAAATTCACAGAAAAGGGAACAAAAAGGCAAGAATATATTGATTCTCCCAAAGTATATGATACAGAATCAGACAAGAAGAGAATGGGCAGCCAATAGATAAAACCATCTTGTAAAGTTTTCGATTCAGGTATTTGTCTTTGTTGAGTAGAGCATTTTCCTGGATTTGATAATCAAAGAAAACGGTTTGTCAAATCAAACTCCAGAGATATAAATTAGCAAAGAGTATCCATAAACATCATAAACGTAAACTTTAAACTTCACCTAAACCTACTCAAGTTTCGGAATTATGCAACAATTTCAGAGAGACATATTATATAGTTCATTACATGTTATCTAGATCACAACCAACTCGAAATATTACTTTGAGAATGCCTCATTTGACAAATTTGCAATCAAATAGCAGAGATCTCTGTGACATGTAACAGAAACCCTAGAAAAATGACAGAAGACAGTTCCCTTGAATGATTACCAACAAGACAACAAACCAAATCTATGCATTTGCATAGAAAAGTAGAGCCAATAAAACTAAACCCTAAAATCAATGCAAATTTCATTTCTTTTTTAAACTGAACTGACCATTTCCTTCAAGAGTGTGTTTCCATCTTTCGTGAGCTTGATATCTCCAGCTCCTCCAACAAGCCTGAAACAGAAACCAGAACAATAGTATTGGTGATGAAAATGACGATGATCATGGGGACGTAGCATGATGACGACGATACATACATCTTAATGGTGCCCTTAGGGCCAAGGTTGGTTTTGAGAACATCCTGTAAACCCTTTGCAGCGTTGATGTTCATATGGAGAGCAGCAGATTTGTTGAGGACCTCAGCATTAGGGTTTAGCACTCTGAGAGACATCTTCGATTACTTACATAGAACACTGTTTTCTTGTTTCTCCCTTTAAACAGGGTCTTTCTCTCTCTAACCACACCTCTCTCTCTAAACCAGATTTTCGTCTCTCTCCTTCGCGCTCTCTCTCTAAGAGTAGCGTTCGCCACTGTGACCAAAAAACGCAAAACAGAAAACGGAAACTTTGCCGGGCCTGCATTATGCACGAATTTGAAATCTCCAGAAATAACCCTCCCAAGAAATATCAACCGTCCGTTTTTTAAGAATTGACGGCTGTAATTCTTCATCTTGAACGTGTTATTGTAGCCGTTCCAGTATTAGATTCTTAAGAGTTATTACTCATGAAACATGCACCACTAGTGTATGCAATATGGTACACATCATGGCATTCACCGTAGGTTGTTCTTGATGAGATGATGGACAGTGTGAATTAACGGCGGTGAAAGGCGACATTCATACAGGAATTTAACAATTGTTAATCTAAATTGAAAATCGTCGATCTAGATCAAAGAGAATGTTAGAATTTTACTAATTTATCAAAGTCTATATTTTTTATTTAATTTTTTATTATTTAAAAAATATAATGACTTATGGTCTCAAAGAGTATAGCATTTAATATAACAGAACGGCGGACCAAATTCATGTAGCCTACCCAAATTAATTGAAAAAATCCTATGATGATGATGATTATTTAAAAATTTAAATCACCACAAAAATATAAGAAACATCGTTCTATAAAACTTTTCTCTTTTTTTTGTTTTGTTGGATTGCCGATTATACCAAATCCAAATCAACCGATTGTGCTAATCCACAACGGTGATATGGAGGGCCAAACCTCCCGGTCGACTCGGGTTTTAAGGTAATGTTGTAAACCTTCATCCATATAAGAAATAAAGGACCATCCTATGGTGTATGTCATACACCTCTCTCTCACACACAAGACCTGTGTTAGGAATAGGCTTAAGGCTAGGTGATTAAGGTGGAAGGGTGCGGTGCCGACATCTTAAAGTTCTATTCTTGCCATAGGCAGTAGACCCATTTCGTTTAATGTTCACTTAAAAGCAATGGTTTAAAAAACGGATCAGTGACCCGGATCGGGCTTCCAAAAAACCGATCCGGATCGACGAATCGGAGATCCGGATCGAAAATCGGGTGAATCGGTCAGAATAAAACTTCAAAAAAATCCGAAAAAATTATTAAAATTCATTATAAATATTGCTTTTTAGGAATTCAATAAGAAATGAAGGTACTCCATTAAGAATTTTCATGTTTTTGAATGAATATGCGAATATTGATATGTTCTTTCCCTGCATGAACCGCCATTCAGCATTTAATTTACATCACACAAAAGGATAAACAATATAATTATCATAGAATAAGTATATCAACATACATGGACTACAATAAATCATAAAATTAGTAACATATGATCTAAAAATAAAATGATAGACGACGTTATTGTTCTTCTTGGTCACGCTGGTGCCATTGATTGAATTCGTTTAACAATTAATTGATTCGATCTAAAAACGAATCATCGATATTAACAGGCGTCTGACTATTCCCAAATCCCTGAGTGTTAGTGTTTTGTTGTGTTCCCAATCTAAAATCCCCGAAGATTGTCCATCCTTTATGCTCACCTACATTGTCGTACTCATCCCTACACTGTTGCTGTTGGGACTCGATATGTGAATAATATGGCTGGGATAGGGTGGCC